CCCCAAAACCCCAAAACCCCAAAACCCCAAAACCCCAAAACCCCTTTCTCAAACTTTGTTATTGAAATGATCTCCGTAAATAAAATGGATTATACAAGAAATATGTTCTCGTAAATAGCTAATTAATGCCATTAAACAGGCTAATAATAGAGCTAGTTTTCACACATTCTCATGATATCTCTCACTCTCATCTGGAAGTCCTTTGAGTTCGGAACTTTTCTATAAGTAGAGATTAATTAACGAATCAAAAGTTAGAAATTACCTCTGAGGTTTTACAGAATCTCCTCTTGAAAGATGAATGTTAGGCATCTTCTTAGAGTGGAGATCTATCTTTACTAGCTGCTTTTGGTTGATCTCTCCAAGATATCTCCTTTGAATAACTGGGGATCCGATCCTTTTCATGATAGTAGCAGGAGAATTAGGGGTAAAAGAAGAACAATTTGTGGCACTACTATCGATTCTCTCTCTTTTGATATGTTTATTAGGATCCATTACAGTCAAAAATTTAGAATCGAAATTTCCCATCAAAGGGGAAGGGTCGCTCTTGCTCTTCAAGTTTGGAGCTCTTGTAAGAACAATAGAGAGATCAGAATTCTTAGCCAGTATCTTCTTCTTTGGAGAACCTCTGATATTAAAAGACAGAGTTTGCACTTTTGGGCTGAGTGCTCTTCTAAACCTTAATTTCTTCGGGGAATCATAATCACTTCCAGAGTCTCCTGCTCTAGATATCTTAATTCTCATTTTTTGTGGAGAATACTTAATTGACTGGAACTTTCTTATTCCTAAGGTATCGTTTCGTCCCTGAGGTTTCGTTTCATGCGAAAATAGTCTTATTCTTCTTCTATTTCGTGAAGGAGCTTTAAGATTGGCAACATTTCCTCCCTGATTTCTTTCAGCCATGAAATTCTGACTTAATGTTGAGAACTTGTTTATTTTGTCTCAAGGATCTTTTCTCAAAGTCTTGAGGGAGAACTACAAAATATTTTAAAACAACTCGGTTTAGGGTATAAAATTCTGGGACAAATCATCACCGTTAAAGTTGTGTAAAAACACTACTACAAAAGAGACTAGGCTTACCATTTTATTTTGCTCTCTGAAAAGTGCAATTTGCTTGCAGCTGAAGCTACACTTTTCATCGTCACTAGAACTCTCCGAATAATTCTTATTATCAACCCTATATGTAAGCATTAGATATGAGGAAGAAAATGTTCACCGCGGTGGCCAGTGAAACTAACTTTCAAAATGTTATTTTTATACAAATTTCTTTTGAACTCATGAAGCCCAGAAGCTGCGATCCTTAAGAACTTTCCCACATTTTTTGAAAAGATTATAATCAGCAGTTTTATAATGACTTCCAATAATGTTTTTCTTTCTTAGGGAAAAGTCTGGAAAAGTTACTGTAGAACCTGGCAGAACCCTGAAAGGAAATAGAAAATAAGGGACTAGTGCGTTATCAAGACCAGAGATGTATTATAATATTATTTGAGACGTTGGAACTTTTAAAAAAATTTAAGAAATTTCATAATGTGCTTGAAATTGTCCAAAGATCTCTTCCAGTGAAATTTTCGTAAAAACCTATTAATGCAGAACGGAACCTAAAGGAGATGGTAGAATAAGGTGTTATAATTTAATAGCCTGAAATGCATTTTTGAAGTAATTAAAATACTTAGTAAGCTGATATGTAGAAAGCTGAGGAGATAATAATTGAAAAATTAGTAAGAAATCAATTTCTTACCTTAATTTTTTACGTCAGATTTAGAAATATCAAACTTTTATGCTTCATATAATTGTCTAATCCTAATCTCCGTATTCAAAATTCAAATCCATCTCCAATAAACACCTCTAACCCCCTCTATCTCCCCTCATTTCTCTAATTTTCCCAAATTTCTAAAATTTATACCTCCCACCACTTCTTCCCCTCTTATTTCTCCAAATCTTACCTATCTCTACTATCCATTCAAAAATATTAATTTCTAACATTTCTCTCATCTCTAAATCACTTGGGGTTTTGGGGTTTTGGGGTTTTGGGGTTTTGGGGTTTTGGGG